AGAGTCTAGCATGATTTTAGGGGCCTGAGATGGAGCTGTGACTAAGGTCATCCTTCCCGTGAATGAGGTAGATGACACTAATGAGAGCCAACTTTCCCCCGCTAGGTCCAGTTAGTCCTAAAGACGTACGTGAACTCCTTTACTCCTCGTGGTAACTGCATGAGATGAGCCGTGTTTCCCTTCTCGTTGTATAACAAAGAACACTGAGGCACAGAGGAGCTAAAGTCATACAATCAAAGATGACAGATAAACCCAGACTGAAAGATATCTCATAAAATAACTGGTCTTCAAAAACGTCAGTGTCTCGAAGCACAAAGGCTCAGGAATCCTTCCAGATTTGAGTAGATGAAACTTGACAATGGAATGCAATACGTGATCCAGAACTGTATCTTGCCATAAAAGATATCTGGGAGCATTGCTGAAATCTGAATACGGTCTGTAGATTAGATAATAGTGTTACGTCCGTGATAGTTTCCTGGGTTTGGTGACTGTGCTCTGATCGCTTGAGAGAATGTCCTCGCTTTGGGGAAATGACACCAAAGTGTTAAAGGGTATAGGGCTCCATCCCCAAAGCCACCTCTCCCATGAGTCAGGAAAAATATTATAGATAGATAGAAAGTAAATATGTAAGATGTTTGTATTTAGAGAACCTGGATGAAGAATATATAGGAATTCTTTCTACTCTTGCAACTTTTCTGCAAGTTGGGAATTCTGTCAAGACAAAAAGAAAACAAGTGACAGAGCAGGGAAGGCAGGTGACCTGGAGGGCGCGTCAGTGACACTGCCGGTTCCCGCCGGGATGCCGGGCTCTGTGCCTGGCCTCCTGTGCGTAACTGCGTTCCGGCCTCACCACAGTCCGCGCGGAAGGAGACCGTCACTGCTGCCATTGCACAGAGGCGGGTCAGAAAGGTGCCGGGATTTGCTCCAGGCCCTCCCCCCTACTTGGGGCAGTTCCCGGACTGGAAAGTAGGCTCTGAGTTCTAGGTGTGTGCTCTTTGCCTCAACACCACTGTGGACTCTGACCTTTGATGGGCAGGACCAGGCACTGCGTCCTGGGGCAGTAGCGCAATGAGGGCCCTGGGACAGAAGCAGACAAGATCCATTTGCCTGGTGGAGAGGGATGGTATTCCAGGATTCTGCAGGGAGCAGATCCAACAGTGCCAAGTAGGACATGCTGGTATGTGGGAGGGGGCCTCAAATGCCAGGCAGAGTTGGTAATGGCCGCAGGCAGGGGAGCCACAGGGCAGGCCTGGAGTGACCTAGGGCTGGGCAGGCTGTGCATTCTGGGTAGGGAGACAGGCCTCGGAGGAGCTCACTGGGAGGGGGCGAGAGTGCTCCACAGCCTGCTCAGCCTCCTAGCCAAGCCGGAGGCCCTGGCAGGATCAGGAGCCAACGGGCTCGGTGCTCGGCAGTTTGGAGCAGCCCACCTGCAGCATCTGAAAGGCGGCCTGGCCTGGAATGGGCGGGCAGGGACTGTGGATGATGTGGGTCGGGCTGGCAGACCACCTGGGGAGGCCATGTGAAGAGGAGGGTGCAGGAAGGGCTGAATGACCTCTGGCAGTCCCTCCCGGTCACCTGGACTGTCTGGCTTTTCCCCAGATTAAAGAGCTGAGGGTAGGTGTCTGGCAGCTGGATGAGTCAGCCTGGGAGGCTGCCTCCTTCCCCTGCCTGCCTGCCCAGGGTAGTGGTGGGCCAGGCGTTTGGCCTGTCTCCCCTCAGATGTCCCCTCCATGCCCTGAGATTCGAGGGGCACCCAGTGGCTGAGTGAAGCGGTTGACTTTGCCGAGTCCCCGGGTGGGCCTGGGCGTGTGCCGGTGTGTACGGGGAGGTGCAAGCGTCACCCATCGTAAAATGTCAGTGTTTTCATGGTGAGTAGTAATTACTGGGTAATGCTCTAAAACCTTTCCTGAAGGAGCGCAAACCTGCTTTTTTTTTCTAAAGTCAGGAGTACATTAAAAGGATTACCATGTAGATTTGATTTTTAGATAACACTAAAATGGATCCCAAATGGACTTCAGCAAAGGGATGCTATCTCCTTAATGGAAAGTGCATGGCCCGAGGCTCAGCTCCGAGAGCCTGGCAGGGAAGTGGGGAGGGAAGAGGTGTGTGCAGGGCCAACTGGCAGGCCAGGGTTGGGGGGGGGCTGTTGCTGAGGAGGCAGTGCGGAGAGGGGGAGCCTGGACCCCCTGGGGAGCAGGAGCCCAGAGGTGCCTCCTTACCTTTCCAGGAGTGTTTTCAATCTCCTGGATTAGCCCAGTGGGACCCAGCCCAGCATGGGGCATCACAAAGAAGGGAGGGCGAGTCAGAATTCTCCCAGGACCTCAGCCTTTTCAGGCAGAGAAAGCTCAAGGTCCCCAGATGCTCTGAGACCTCCTCAGCCAGGCTGGCCCTGGTGTTCCTTGTCTCGGCGGACTTCTGGCAGAAGCTGCATGGCTCCTTAAGAGTTCTCCAGGGCCTAGGAAGTGGAGTCCAACACCCTAGAGTAGGGTGCCCAAGCCCTACCAAGAACCTGGTATGTGCTAGGCCCAGCATGGGCATAGGTGGGAGGTGGGGGCCTGGGGGAGCTTGTGGCCTTGCTCCTCCTGGCCTCCCTGGGTCCTCTAGGTGTCAGGTCCCACCAGTGATGGAGGTGCTGGCCACTGCTGTAGTTCACAGCCCTGCAGGCTCGGGGGCCAGGCATTCTGTCCAGGATCCAAGCCAGAGGAAGATGGAGAGGGCAGACACTCCTAGTGTTGAGAGATCCTACATCATTTTCAGGTATAGTTTAGTGAACTGGGTGTATCCCCTTAGATGGATGGATATTCCAGCCACTCGCCCCACCCCTACCAGGAGAGCACAAATACAGCCAGCCCAGGTAAGTACGTGGAAATCAGCCCTGGGCTCTACACCAGAGGCCTGGCCCGAGCTTTTGCAAACTGGTAGTTATGCCGGCTGGATGCTCCCTCTGTGGGTGACAGAGAAAAATAATGCTGTCCTGAGACTGCCAGGCAATCCCACGTCCAGCTTTCTTAACCCCTCCATTCGGGCATACCTGTAGGCCAGGCCTTGAAAGGAGCCCCTCAGGTCCCCCTTAGCTCTCTGGGTGCCTGGTCCCAAGGCGAAGTCCATGGGTCCCTCAGAGCCACGACTGGGCTGAGCCCTGCCAGAAGAGACACAGGCGGGCCTGAGGACAGTCACTCTGAGCCTCATCGCTCTCTCAGACCAATTAACCTTTAGAGCTGCATTAAGGAAATTAGGCAGTGAACTTCCCAGCTAACAGACAGCCCTGCGGGGACCGGAGGATGGAGGGAGCAGAGAGCCCACAGCAGCCTGCGGTACCTCCTCCCTGCCCTCGCCTGTCCTGCTGCTTCTGGGCTCGGGAGGGCCCCCTGGGCCCAAGGGCCACCACCTCTCCCAGAGAAGTCAGAGGACGATGAGGCTGAGAAAGCTCAGGAGGAGGGAAGGGCTCCTGTGGCCAGCTTAATTAGTGGTCTACACTAACCCCTTAGACTGTCTGAGCCTCAGTTTCCCCATCTGTAGAATGCGACCATTTTCTAGAAGAAATCTGAAGGCCCATCCAATCTGACACCCATGGATTTTGAGCCCGAGGCCCCATGGAGGCTGTGGCTCTCCTCGGAAGCCTGAGGAAGCAGCTCAGACGCTGGGCTGCCGGCAGTGGGAGTGGGGCAAGAGGAAGGATGCCAGGTGATGGGAGCTGAACCCAGAGCCCTGGAGAGTGCAGGGATCCCTTGGAGAGGATGGGGCCAAGAGGAGGGCAGAGTTCATGAGCAGGTTGAAAAGCCAGGGAGGCAGGAAGGGGTAAGCTATTCTCTCCAGAGTCAATACCTTCATCCTCACCCCTTCCCCCCGCCCCATCCCCTTCATGAGATGCTCACAGGCACCTCCACCCCCACCCCAGGTTGGGGGTCTGAGACTCCCTGCACTCCTCACCAAGCCTAGTCTTCAGCACACTCCAGCCTCAGGGCTCCATGTAGATGTTCAAGTTCCCGGATGACACTTGTCATCTGTCCCCATCTCCTCTTCAACTGGCCCTCCCTGTGGTCATTCCTTGTGCCCGCGTGTATGGGGTTTGAGTGATGCGCACGCTCGCCTGTGGGGAGGTCTGCCTCTACCTCGGTGAATGCCAGGCTCAGATCCAGCCCCTTGTACTTGGCTCTTTCTTATATATTGAGAAGCTTTCTGGGTCCTGGGAGGGGGCCAGGGACTCAGAGATCTTTGGGAAGAGCCAAGATCCAGAGGCTGGGAACCTGTCCTCCCTCAGGCCAGGGCAGGTAGGGAGCATGACTCCAGTTGGGAGCATTGCTGAGGAGAGCCCCACCTGGGCCTGGCCCAGCTGCCTCCAGCACACACCTGCCTCCCGAGCTCCTGCTCCCCCTCCCCCCTCCCTCCCCTGGGCCCCACTGCTGGGACTGTCACAAGGGCATCTTATTTTCTTTGTGATACCTCCTCAGCTCTACATGAATAAACCAAGAGGCTGTAGCCTGACTTTTTGGCTTAAGAGGAATAAACACACATGCTGTGTGTGGAAGTCTCAAGGTGGCAAAAAGATGTGGGAGTTCTAGTGGACCCCCTGCCTGTTAGGAGATTTCATCCTTGGACCTGCAGAAAGAGCCAATGGGACGGCGGCTGCATGAGGAGGCTCGGGCCTCCTGTAGCTCGGGCTGGGGAGGGGGGGCAGTGTTGCATGGCAGGGAACAACTAAGGGGGGCCAGGCCTCCGGGCCACCCATGTGGTCCTGCAGCAGAGCAGATGTGGGGCTCCCCCGGTGCCTGGAGCCTGTGGATGGACCTTCACAGGGCAGGGGAACAGGCTGTGCCACACAGCCTGAAGGACAGGACCCAAGACTGGGGAGGAGGGTGCTGGTGAAAAAAAAGAGGGCACCTGGGAACCCCGATCCTGGAGGGGGCACGGCAGGGAGAAGCCGAGGGCTCTCATTCTCAGAGGGCACAGAGACACAGGGCCCACCCGTGTCCTTCTGTCTCTTGTCTGTCCCTCCGCAGGCGTACCGATGCTGTCTGTCCAGCCCAAAGGGAAGCAGAAGGGCTGTGCTGGCTGCAACCGCAAGATCAAGGACCGCTACCTACTGAAGGCTCTGGATAAGTACTGGCACGAGGACTGCCTCAAGTGCGCCTGCTGCGACTGCCGCCTGGGCGAGGTGGGCTCCACCCTCTACACCAAGGCCAACCTCATCCTGTGCCGCCGAGACTACCTGAGGTGGGCCACCTCCTGCCACCTGGTCCTTCTGCTCAGAGAGCCCCCATCCTCCGGGGCCCAGCATGGTCCTGCCCCAACTACAGACCCAGTACCCGGAGTGCACAGCCCAAGTGTGTGCTCGTCCTGGACTGTGCTGCCCCTGACCTTGCCCTGCTCCCCAGGACACCCATGGAGCCCCCCAGGGCAGGGCCATGTCTTCAACTCCTGGGACTCAGTGGCCACCAGCACAGGTTCCGGGCAAGCGTCCGTAACCACGGACATGGAGAGGAGCTTCCCGAGGGCACCAGCCTGGTCCTGCCCCACCTTTGTCAGGGGCTTCTGACCCACCCTGTCCTTGGGTCTGAGAGAGGGTGTCTCAGAGGGGCTTTGTGGCAGGTGGAAAAGCTCTGACTGCCCTGGGACCCCCTTCCCCCCTCTCCCCAGGGCCCAGATCCCCCCGCCTTTCTAGGAGGGTCCTGGGATTTGATGCCCTGATGCCTGAGGATCCTGGCAGGCAGCCAGACCCTGGAGAAGGATTGCTGATGTCAAAGCTGAAAGACCTGGGTTTGAACTAGCTCTGAGCCTCAGTTTACCCCTCTGTGAAGTGGCAAAAAGAATAACTTCCTGCTTGACATTCATCAGAGCTCCCCTACTACCCTCCCCCTCAGTCTGGATCCTATTCCCTGGGGCTGTCTCCCCCAGTTGACCCTCCCGTAGGCCATCCATGACATCAGCAGGGCTGGAAGGAGGCCACAGAGCAAGGGCCTTGGCTGAGACCCAGCACCTGCATTTGGCTCCCACACAGGCTGCTGGGTGGTGTCTGGGCCTTGCGGGAGGGAAAAGGCCTAACTTGTTAATTAATGGGTCGGGGCAAGGGATTCTTGGGGCCCCTCCACTCAGGTGTGGGTATGTTGTGGGGTGGGCTTATCAACCCGAAGAGCTTAAGATTTACCTGCCTGTATCTTCTCTTTTAACGTTTGCCTTTTGCAGGAGTTGTTTTTTTGTTTTTTGTTTTTTAGAGATGCAGTGAACCAGGGCCTGTGACTCAGTGCTCCTGGCTGGGCCCAGAAGAGGGAGGCTGAGGCCAGGAGGAGGGGTTTAGAAAGGAGCTCCTGGGGATTTGCCCCTCAATGACCTGAACAGGGCATCTGAACCTGGAGGTTTAGGCCGTTGGCTGGGGGCTGCACCCCTGGGTCAGAGGAGGTGGCAGCCCATCTGATGGGTCCACAGGCCCTGGAGATGTAGGCCTCAGTGCAGGAAGGGCTTGTCAGCAGGGCTGAAGCGCCCACAAGCATCCTGAGCCCTGCCAGCCCCTGGAACCTGAAGGTATTTTCCTGGGTTCTGGCAGAGGCCACAGAATGACTTTGGGGCCAGGTAGGCCAGTGGTCCAGAATGGGGGTGGGGCTTCTTTGAGCTGCTCAGCCCCAGAAAATGGCTCTCCAGAGCCTGCCCCCTCTGCAGCTTGCTCATGGACTGGGGGCAAGATTGGCCCCTCTTGGCAGGCAGATGCTGTGGCCCAGCCTTTGTCTGCCCTAATCTGAGCTACCAGGCAGTTCGGACTGATGAATAATGGAGCCAGACTTGCCTGCAGACGCCGGAGCTCGAGCTGGACAAATCAGGGATTAGAGGGGCCTTCCGCCTGCCTCTCAGCCCCCTTGTCTCACTTGGGGCTTTCTCTGCCAGTGTGCAGAAAAGAATCGAGGAGGAGCCTGGCTGGCTCAGACCATTGAAATGCCCAGCCAAGGACTGGCCTGCATGGGGAGAGTATCAGCTCCCTGCCCCCAGAACTTTGCAACCAGCTGCTAAGAGAAGGGTTGTCTGTCTCAAAGAGGTGTTGTGCCAGAAGTCCTTAGAACTTCCCGTTGACATCAGTCTCGTTGTAGAAACACCTTTGAACAGGATTATCTAGTCCAGCATCCCCATTTTAAAGAAGGACGGACTGGGCTCCAGGGAAAGGAAAACGGGCCTTACGCAAGTCACAGAGTTGAGTTGGTAGCTGAAAAAGACCTCCTCATAGGGTTGTTGTCGAGATTAAATGAGTTGATCTTTGTAAAGCCCCTAGAACAGGGCCTGGTACATAGTAAGCACTGGGTAGGTGTTTGCTACAATACAGGGGCTGTGACTGAGCATTTACAGAAGCTTTCACAAGCATGTGAAGGTTGTATTTCAGTCCCTGTTTTACAGTTGAAGTACATGAGGCTCAGAGAGACTCGGTGGCTTGCCTGAGGACACGCAGCCCATGATTGGCCAACTGCCTCTATATTCTGGCTTGTGTGACTCTGAAGTCCTGCTCATGGTCCAGTCCAGTATTCTGGTGCCCCCTGGGGCTTGAGGGACCTCCGTGAGAGCCTGGGAGGAGGCCTTGTCATCCCAGCCCAGGGACAGGCAGTGTTAGCTGACCTGGAGTCCCACATCCCCCTCCCTGAGTCCATGTGCCAATTTCTCTGAAACCTGATCTCTTAGAATTTAGGGAGACAAGTGGAGCCATGGGTGGAGGCAATGCCCTGGCCGCCCTCTCCCAAGATCTCTGGCCGCTCCTGAGCCCTCTGCACCCTTCCCTCTGCAGGCTCTTTGGCACCACGGGAAACTGCGCCGCCTGCAGCAAGCTGATCCCAGCCTTCGAGATGGTGATGCGGGCCCGGGACAATGTGTACCACCTCGACTGCTTCGCCTGCCAGCTCTGCAACCAGAGGTGAGTGCTAGTCTGGTAGGAGACTCAACCCCCTCACTTGATCCCACCTGAACTCCTGTGGAGGCCTGCATGCAAATGCGGGTTCTGTGTGTGCATGTGGCTGCCATGTGCACGCTGTCCTGAGCATGTGTGTACATATGTGTGTTCCATGTAAGCCTGAGCCTTGTAGTCAAATGTGTGTGCACCAGTACTATATGTACATGTTTGTGGGACACATTTCTGTGTGAATGTAATGGATGGGAGCATGCATGAGCTTACTGTGCATGCACAGTGTGTCGTGTGCATACATGCGTGTGTGTCTCTTAAAGATCTTATTTTTAGAGAGAAGGGAGGGAGAAGAAGAGGGAGAGAAACATTGATGTGTGAGAGATACATCAATTGGTTGCCTTTCACACGCCCTCTACTGGGGACCTAGCCCACAACCCAGGCATGTGTTCTGACTGGGAATCCAATCGGCGACCCTTTGTCTCTCAGGCTGGTACCCAACCCACTCAGCCACACTAGTTGGGGCACACACATGTGTTTTTAAATGTCCATGTCCACATGGATATATGCACATGATGGAATATGTACATAATTCTAGTTGTCTGTCTGCAAATGGGGTATGTGTGTGCTCTGTGTGCATGAAGAGTGGGTGTGTGGAGGAAGAGACCTGTTTTAAATGTGCATGTACAAGGGTCCTGTGCACGTGCCCTGTGCCCTGTGAGGGTACCGTGTGCACATATATTCCAGAAAGAAGGGGTTCCCGGGCCTGGTGGGTGAGATCCCCTCAGGGAACAGCCCCTCATTGCAGACCCTTCTCTTGTGAGTCTATTATAGTTCCAGCCCAGCCTCCTTCCCGGTCTTTTGGCTCCTGCTCAGTGCCCCAGCCCGGTGGGAAGCCCCAGGGACCTGCAAAGCCAGAGCCCTCCCGGCTGGGGACCAAGGCTCCCAAGGCAGGCCCTTTTCTCAGGAGTCCGCAGGTCAGGGAGCAGTTTATATAAGTATTCCCGGAGGGAGCCTCAGGGACAGCTGGCTTGGCTGGGGCTCTGGCCAGACCTGCTGCTAGGAGGGCTCTGTGAAGTTGCATCGCCACCTGGTGGTTGAACTGGGATCTGCTGGGACTAGGCCTGTGACCCTGGGGTCCCACTAAAGGCTCAGCCACCCTGGAGATGTCTTTGAGGGAAGGGCTGAATCCTCCAGTACTTAAGGAAGACTGGGTAGAGGGAGGGCAAAACAGAGCCTTCTTTGGGTAGGAGGAAAGATGGTGGGACTGGATCACCTCCTCCTGGAAGGATGTTCCAGGAAGCCCACAGGTTTTGTTTAAAGAAATTGCCCTTCACTGAGCCGTCCTCTTAAATTGGAGAGGGGACAGAGGTGTGGAAAAAATCAACCATTTTATCCCTTCCTCCTTTCCATCTCTACCTCTTGCTGCCTCTCTCCTCCCTGGGTCTTTCCCCATTTCTTTGTTCTCTCTCTCTCCCTCTCTGGGACAGGGAGAGGTTACTCCTACACCTTCCCACTAACCCCACCCCCCAGTGGCCCAGGCTTGTCTGTCTGTCCTGTATGGTAGACTGTCCCGGGGCCTGGCAGAGGGCTGGGCAGACCCAGGGAATTTTGGGGCCCCCTCTGGAAAGTCCAAGGAGCAAGCCCCCTGGACCTCCAGCCCCACGCGTCCTCCTCCCCGTCTGGAGCTCTCACCGCCCATGGGGACCCCTCCATGCTCTCTCTCTCCTGCTTGGTTTTCCAGATTTTGTGTGGGAGACAAATTCTTCCTGAAGAACAACATGATCTTGTGTCAGATGGACTATGAGGAGGGGCAGCTCAATGGCACCTTTGACTCGCAGGTGCAGTAATACCCGGCGCCTGGCCTCCAGGGCTGTCCGCCCGACTGCCCGCCCGCCCGCCTGGCCGGCCAGCCGCTCTCCCGTCGATGAGAACTCCGTCCTCCGTGGGAGGGACGGCCCTCCCTCCATGCTGCCCGTCTGTGTGTGACCCTCCTGGGGCCAGGCGGGGCCTGTACATTCTGTCTACTGTATATAAATGGGAACATTTATTTTATGAGAAATGTAATGCGATTTTATTACTGGCGTGGATTAAACTTATGAATGTTTCCGGGGAGGCTACTCTGCGATGATCACATGACTGCCCCTGTCCTCCGCTCGGGAGTGGGCAGGCTCTCCCTTGGCCCTTGGGGGGACGGGGGAGGGACACAGAGCACGGCATGGGGCTCTCCAGGTGGGCTTTAGGGGGAAGAAACTGGAGAGAAGGGAGCCCCCCAAGCACCCCACAGCCAGAAGTGGGAACTGGGGTGCCCTCTCCTTCACCTGGCAGAGCATATACCCTGATTCCGAGCAGGCCCTCCAGATGAAGAGGCAAGATGGAGCCCCGCCTTCCTTGGGTTCTTCCGTTACATCCACCCACCAAGACCCCTCTCTCTGCCTGGACAGTAATCTAGTTCTGACCTCCTCCTCCTCCTCCTCAGCAGGACCCCAAACCCTGAGCAGCCTACCACGGAAGCACCATTCTGAAACCCCTCTTGGCTTTCAGGGCAGTGGGCAGTGTTTGCTGTCTCCTCCCTGCAGCCTGGGCCTGACCTGGGGTCCAGCTTTCTGCTTCCCTGGGTGACGGAGGACAGTCCTGCTCCCCTGTAACAGCCTGAGTGGACTGGAGGCTTTCGTTCACTCAGTCAGCAAACCTTAATCCACCCTGTCTCAGCCCTGCGCTGTCAGCACCAGGCCCGAGGATGAATCATGCATCGGACACAGCCTGTGCCCGAGAAGAAGAGAGAGAAAGCCAGGAAGACAAACAGAGCTCGTCATGGTGAAGATTCATGCTCAGGGCGACCTGGGACAGGCCAGCTCCCTCCAGTGGACACAGGACTGCTCGTGATGACTCTGGAGAGTCAGACAGAGCAGCCAGGAGACACACCACCAGATACATGGGCTGGCAGGCAGGAGAGATGGACACACACGTAGACAGGTATGTAGGCAGAGAGAGGCTGGGACAGACAGGCAAGCTGGCAGGCACTCAGCTCAGGCCAGAAGAGAGCCACACAGGCAGACACCCAGGGTGTTTTCAGTCCACCGGCCGAGCCAGGCTCACCCAGGGCAGCAGATGCGCTCCCTTGTCTCGGCTGCAGCCACAGCACCGAGCACCGGGACTAGCACTGGGAAAGTATCACTGAGCAGCATTTTAACAAGTGGGGGCTCCTTGGGTCCCACACCTCACAGAGAAGGCTGTATGGACAGGCTACCCCCACCATCAGGCCACTCGCTTGTCCTTCCCCAGGGACTGTTTTCATTCTGGTCACAGAAGAGAGCCCAGGGCTAATGAAGCCAGTCTACTTCTTCAAGCTCTGCCTGAGGATGGCCAGGCTCTTGTGGGTACTTGGAAGAGGCTGTGTTTCTAAGTTGTATTTGTGTGGCCCATGGCCTCATTCATGGGAAGGGCTTGGAAAGGCCAAGGATCTCGGGGTAGGAGTTCTCAACTTTGGGGTTTCCCCCTCCTGGGAAGGAACTACATCCACGTGTGTGAGAGACAAGAGAGGCAGCGAGCCAGTCGGCCTGGCTGCCGTGGCTACTTCTGTGTGACGTGAGTCCGACGAAACTGGGGAGCTACCTGTACGAGATTGCAAGTAAGTTTGGGGGCCAGACTCCCTAATAAGGAATTTTCCATGCTCAACATGAAAAAGCAAGTTCCCTTCCTGGGTTGTCACAGGGCCCCCAGTGCCAGACCCTCCCTGGGCCCTTAGGTCCCAGATGGCTGTGCTCACCCCAAGGTTCCCAACTACTAACTTCAGAGTTTGCTGCAGATAAAGTTGTAACGCAAGTTAATTGCATGGTTATCGAGAGGTAACGGAGCCACTTGAATGCAGTTTCTGGGCAATTACAATCGTTTCCAACAGAGTTACCATATTGCAGTCATGAAATAACATGTCATTTTGTAGTAATTATGTAATTAACTTGTCTCACCACTCTAGGTTGCACAACAATTAATTCACTCACAATGAGGTAGACTCAAGTCAGGCAGCCAGGCTTCGAAGACCCCCCAGAGCAGAACTGGACTTTGAAAAGGACCCCAGCCCCACTCTGCCCACCCCAGACCTTGCCAGGGGGTTTCCTCAGCTCACCACGGCCTGGAAACCGCCAGGTCCAGCATCATGGTCCCACCTATTGCTGTTTCGCCATCCTCGTCCAGGGAATAGGGATGGCCTATTTCCCAGGCAGCCACGAGGCCGAGGCCTGCACTATGAAGTGCTGTGCTTGCAGGAGCAGGGGTCACCATCCTGTGGCCCCTCGTGGGGTCCTAAGTGGACCCTTCATCCAGGAAGTCTCATAGCAGTGCAGAGCTGCCCCCAGGAAAGACCACACAGGCCTGGCCTGTGCAGGCACAGACCCAGTGCGGGGAGGGGAGGGATCGGAGAGGAGGCCAAGCTCTCTCTGTAGCAGGGCAACCACACAGGGTTGGAATGGTTACTGGAGGCTGGGGATTGTGCCCCTGGAGAGGATTTGCAACCCCCAGGGAGGACCCAGGAAAAGCCTGACCACCTAACTCCCCCCACTAGTCACTGCATAGGAGAAACTTGGTTAAGCGTAGGGCATGAGTGGGCCGGGCCTGGCAGCTGCAGCCCACCACAGAGAACTGGAGTACAGCAGAACAAGGGAGCACTGGACATGAACCATTAGAGGCTGGAATGACTTTATCCTCAGCCTGTGGCATGTGGGTGGTGGGCTGTGGACGGGCCTCGAACTGTAGCTGAGCACAAGTTCCATTTCCCCCAATCAGCTCATGGGACCCTACCTCCCCTCCTGCCTCCCTCGGTGGCCTGGTGTCAGAGGTACCCTAACCAGGGGCCTGAGACCCATGGACTAGGACACCTGCCTGTGTCCTGCCCACCCACTCCTCGGACTGAGGCTGAACCAGAAAGTCAGTGCTTGGAAAGAAGTGTGATTCTAATCTTGACACTGCTGCAGGGCCCATCGTGAAATCTCCCAGGGGTGCTCTCTTCTCCCGGGGCTGGTCCCAGAAATCACGTCCTGTCTCTTGAGACACACAGGGGCTGTGGGCAGAATCCATGGGAAATTCTAGCCTGGTAACTCTTACCTCTATGTGGAGACAATTGCTTGCTCTCTCTTTCTCTCTGTCTCTGTCTGTCTGTCTCTCTCAAAGCTATGAGATACAGTAGTTATGGTCAGACTAACTGCATCTGGTGGGGGAGCACCGCCCACCGAGCGAGGGTAGGTTCGGGGAAGATGCTGTGGAGCTGTGAGTGCACATCACCCTTGGTGAAAATTCCTGTGAGAGAACGCTGTCAATCTACAAGTTGATATTTAGCTATACATTACCTCTAGAACTAGAAATCCCTAAAAATGAGTGAGTACAGATAAGCTGATCTGAACATGAGTGGGTCCAGGAAACAAATGAACAGACAAACTTGGTCCCGCCTGGTTCCTCAGGAGAACATGATCAGTAAACCAAACACACACGCGCACACGCACGCAGGCTGGTGGGCGCAGCTGAAGCCCAGAGAGGAGCTCACCAGAATGTCCTGAGCAAACCTCACTCTGCACCTGGGCCCTGGGGCCGACTTCCAAACTGCCTGACCTCAGCAAGGGTGGGGGCCTCCTGCGCCTGCCCCAGACCTTGGGTCCCAGGTGTCCCAGATCTCTTGGACTCTCACTTCCTCCAGGGTAGACTGTCCCTGAGCTGCCTCTGGTTGGTGCTGCTTTTATCACCCAGTAACAGCCCCTCCTACCATGAGTCAGCCCCACATAGTGCTGCTCTGCCTCTGCCAGCCACCACCACCACTGTGCTGACCACCCATCAGGCTCCAGGGACTCCAACACTCACTGCTTCCCTCAAAGCCGGGTCCAGGGTTCGCATCGTAAGTTTCACATCAGACTCTTTCCCACCCCGTGGCCTCTCCCTCTCAGCCCCTGCACCCCCTTCACGGAGCAGGGCACACCCTGGCTGGGACTCCTTGTACCTGGGCCAGACCTCATGGCCTTCCCCAGGGGCTTGGGGCCACACCTAGTAAGGGGGACACTGCTGCTGCTCAGAGCACCCACCAGAGGCGAGGCAGAGACAAGAGGCCCTTTACTGAGAAACTGCCGGAGTGCTGCCGGGGCCCTGCTCCTCTGAGCTCACCTTCCCTGAGCCCCAGACAAACAGCTCGGTCTCCAGACTGTCCCACTGGCACTGCATTTTGCACAGTGTGTGGCCTTTGCAAGGAAACTGTGAGCCCTTGGGCTGCCTGTGGCACCCAGGGTAGGGTCTGCACTCCCTCGGTCCCCTGCCTTCTCTAGGGCACCACCAGATTCCAGGGAGGAGCTGGCCCAGGGACCCTGCCTGGGGCCTGATTTTTACACCCCAACCCCCTGGGTTTGCTCTGTGAGGGGAGCGGGGAGCCCTGCTGAGCCTGGGGCTTCTTACATTTCAGGCAATATCGTCCCCATCGCTATGGGGGCTATCATTATCATCATCTCCGTTTTTTAGGTGAAGAAACTGAGTCTCACAGAGCTGTTCTAGTAAGTAATAGAACCTGACTCCAGGCTCCATGCAGGTTATTTCCAGGTGAAACTGACACACAGAGGTAACCCCACAGTGGGAGGATCTGGTAGATTTTACCCACGACAAAGCCCGTGTTTCTCTCCACAACCCAACCCACAATGAGGACTTGACCTTGGGTATGGGGGGCCCTTGGGCACTTCTGTTCCTCATTGCACATCCTAGCTGAGCCTGTCACTGAAAGCCGGGTGGCCTGTGCTGGGTGCTGGGTGGGAGGAGCTATTACAGATGACACCGTCAAAGGCAGTGCAGGGTGGAGCAGTGGTCCAACCCCAGGCAGCTCGTCCAGCCCCTGGGCTGCAGGTTTCCCAGTGAGACAGGCCCCGGTGCATCCTCATTCAGTCAGTCAGGACACCGGCCTGCCAGTTAGTCGGCCAACATGAGTCAGGTGCCTGCTCGGTGCCAGGCTGATGCCAGGTGCTGAGGTGTGGAAGCACCAGTGGAGAAGGCAGAAGGGTCCTTCTCCACGTGGAGTTTACAGCACAGTGGGGAGACAGACAGCAAACTAATAAAT